GGTTTATGTAAATCTTAGAGCATAACAGTCTTATCTTTACAAGAGTTGCGAGCGTTTGGTTGGGGACATGCAAATAACAATTATTGTTCTCTTTGGATCATCAGGCATGATTTGGTTATTGGGGAGTTTGCTGTCTGGCCTCGAGAATTAAAAGAAATGGGTTTTTAACTCATTGTGGTTGGGATTCAACCATTGGGAGCTTATCAGCTGGGGTGCCCATGATATGTTAGCCTTTTTATGTAGATCAATTTATATATAGCAGGAAAATGTGCAAGGAATTTGACGTTGGCATTGAGATTGGGAGTAATGTGAATAGGGATGAAGTCGAGAAGCTTGCGAGGGAGTTGAGGGTAAACGAGTGAGGAATAAGGCCAAGGAATGAAAGAGAATTGTAGAGATTGCAACATATGCAAAGGGCTCATCTTCTTTGAATGTTGAGAAACTTGCTAAAGAGATTAATATGTTTTCGATGAAAATGTATTAATCTCTTTAGCAAGTTTCTCAACATTCAAAGAAGATGAGCCCTTTGCACATGTTGCAATCTCTGCAATTCTCTTCCATTCGTTGGCCTTGTTTCTCACTCGTTCACCTTCGACTCCTAGCTATGGTTTCATATGTTTTTTTTTGGTTTTAAGAACTCTATTATTTGTTTTGGTTTTCATTTTTTTAGATTTTGGTCCTATTTCTGCTTATCATTGGTTATTAGATCCTAAAATTAATAAGTGGAGCCTATTCTAGGTCCATAATCAAATACGTGATGTTAACGTTCATATGTATGTAAATGTCATGTTATGATAATATATTCCAAATTAAAAAGGTCCAGGATTGCAAAACACTTACTATATTGATGTATTCTAGCTCAAACATAATCACAACATACAAAATTAACTAAATTAATTCTACATTGTAGCTTTCTTATAATTTTGATAGTAGTCATGCTAAACATTAAAGAGGGATAAAAGATACCGCCCCAAAACATGTATATAATATGGGTTTTAAGCACCAATGATTATCTGAGACCAAGATTCATGAGCAATGTCCTAAGTTGCAGCTAATATTTAGAATCTAATATTCTTTTTAATATTCTTTTTAGTAGATCCACAATAACATTATGTCCCCTTTAGTGCCAAAATATAACAACAATGACCTTTTAAACCAGAACAAATATTATTCAGGGCCAGTGACATTATCTCTATTGAAAATTTTGATCTATTATTTCGAGCATTAGGAACTATGTATATTAATAGTTGAAAGTTTTTTATTAATACTCTCGTCTGGTGGGAACCGATGTTTCCGTTGAAGTTCTTTATCTATCCATTGAAAAAAAATAATGGATTTAGGTCTCGAGAATGTCCAATATGCTCTTGTTATTCCTCCTCCACCTCCATTTGTATTTAGGTCTCGAGAATGTCCAATATTAAATATGAAATGTTTCACTTTGTGATTAGGTCAAATCAACATAATCTATAACTTATATAACTTTAAGTTTTCGTGTTGCAACACTTACTAAAATTTTGACAAAGTTACACAGATGGTCCCTGTGGTTGGCATGAGAGACCAAAGATAGTCCTTAAGAGGAATTTTGAACGAGTATGGTCCCTGTGGTTCCCAATTGTTGCACAGACAGCCCTTATGACCGACTCCGTTTAATTGATGCCATTTATCTAAATCACGTGACCCTCACACGAGGGTATTTTGGTCGTTTGCTTATCCCTTCTCTCTCATATCTTCATATGATCTGCAAAAGATTTCCCTTCCCTATAAAAATTAAACCCCCATTTCATCTCCTTTATTCTCTCTTCTCTCTTCTATGTCTTTCTAAGAAACTTTGCTTAACAATGGTAAATTGTTTTTGTGGAAGGCAAGCGGTGATAGTGACATCATGGACGAATCTCAACCCAGGGCATAGGTTTTGGAAATGTCCTAACAATTTCGGTTTCATTGCATGGTTTGATGAGCCCATGTGTCGTAGGGCTGTGGTTGTCATTCCAAGTTTGCTAAGATCCATGAACAAGCTTCAAGAATCTCTACTGCAAGCAAGTTTGGAAGCAAAAAAACTGAAGATGATGCTAGTTTTTAGATGGGTTTTCTTTTTTCATGTATGTGTACAAAAGATGCTAATAGTATTAGTCTGGAGATGATGGTTCTTTTGCTTTTGGGTAGAATCAGATAATAGTATTAGTCTGAAGATGATTTCATTTTGTTTGTTTGTGATGTAAGAAATGTTCGTATGTATGAATGGAATGCTTTTTATTTGGGAAACTTTTAGTCTACAACCATTGTAAAATATTGGTTTGGAACTTTATAAGTGTAAAATATGGTCTGCAACTTTATGAACTATGCAGATCCATTAAAGTATAAAATATGAAAGTATAAAGTCAAAGGTTTTTGTAGGGTTTAGACCATTGTAGGATAATGTGTAAACCATTGTAGAGCCATAACAACATTAAAAATGTTCAAAAATAAAATTCAAACTTTTGCATAGTCATAAAGTTCATTACATAACCTTAAAGTGAAAAGTCATAATACCAACAAAATATCAAAAGAGCTTGCAGACTAATGTATCATAACCAAAAGAACCAACTTAGTCTAGCACCCTAATGTACCATAATACCAACAAAAGATAAAGACACAGAAGAACCAACTTAGTCGGAGCATGCTAAGGTACCAAAACAAACAACACTTTTAAAAACCATAATGACAACAAATCAAACTTTTCCTTCATTTTGGTTTTCTCCTTAAGTTTGGTTTTCTCCTTCATTTTGGGTTTCTCCTTCTTTCCATCTCCCTGCTTCTTTGCCTTGCTAAGCTTCTTGCCCCCTGCAACCACATTTCTAACTTCATTTTGTCCCCCTTGTCCCTTGCAACTCCTAGAGTTGTGACCCTTGTTCTTGCATTTGCTACAAGTAACTTTAAGGAACTTCCTGGTCAAACTTTTGCCTTGATTATTTGGTTCTTCAGTTTGAGCTCTCTTTCTCTTTTTTTTTATCTCCCCACCTACATAATTAATAAATTATAAAATAGTATAAACGTATATTAACTTGTAAATTGAAAATTATTTACCTGTTTAGTATGTTTAGGAGGTGTTAGTGTTACGGGGCAATCTAAATTTGGCAACATACTTCTTCCATTGATAGGCTGAACTTTGTACTTGTACATTTCATTCCATGTGCTTAACCTATAACATGGATGTACCCACTCCTCAAGAACTGGGACATTTTTTTCCACATGCTCAACCTTATACTAAATGGCACTAACAAAATGAGAGCATGGTATCCCAGTGATTTCTCAATGCCTACAACTACAATTCTTGTCCCTCCGATTAACCACAAATTGTTCCCCCATTATCCCAGTAACTTGAGTCTTCTTAGCATCATTAAATATGCAAGTGTATTGAGAAGCATCTTTCTTAACTCCATCTAAAAGTTTTGTGGCTGTTGGGGTAAGTGGCCTTGAGACTTATCTATCACATTTTGCACAATACAAATTCTTCTCATTAAGTATTCACCGATATACTCTAAACATGTAATTAAAGGTTTGTCTCGAGCATCTAACAACTTTGAGTTGAAAACTTCACATAAATTATTCAACAAAATATCTGTATATGTTCTTCCTGTACAATGCAACAAAATATCTTATATGAATCTGTCAAAGTGTAAACTTTTATATAAGGGTAAATATACTTGAAATATGTGCTCTTGTTCAATGTTTGGGTGGAATTTTCTTAAACCAGTCACATGCCTTTGAATTGAACTTGTTAAAATCTTCCATGAATCTGTTAAAGTATCTAACTGTTGTCGTTTTTGCATATTCCCATAAATGATCTCTGTGCTCCTTCCCCCTCTATTGTAGCTTCATGTTTTCGTAAATATGTCGTAGATAGAACCTGTATTTAGCGCTAGGGAATAGGTTGGCAATGGCAGGTAAAATCCCCTAATTAACAAGTAACCAAAATGTTATTTTCTAAATGTAGTAGACAAACAAAATTACACAGATGTCATTAATAAGTATCATAAGAAGATTAACCTTTTGCCTGTCAGAAATGAATGTGAAGTTTGAATTTGTAGAGAGCTCCAAATCTTCACCTAGACACTCTAGAAACCAACTCCATGAGCTTTTATTCTCGGCTTCAACTATGGCATATGCTAGTGGGTAGATCCTATTATTGGAATCAAGACCCACGGAAGTGAGAACCCATCCAGGGTAAGGTCCCTTCATGAAAGCCCCATCGAATCCTAAAAAATCTCTTAACCTGCCTTAAATCCCAGTTTTAATGCCCTTAAACAGACATAAATTCTCTTAACCATCCAAGTTTCCAAGTCTACATTTGGTTCACTGTATACATCAATCTTCACAGTTGTTCCTGGGTTGAACTTTTGTAATTCTAGTACGTAATCCCTGAGAAGGCTGCATTGCTTTTGATAATCTCCATAAACATGCTTTTGTGTAAGTTGTTTGGCCCTAAAAATCTTCATTCTTGACATCCCCACCTCGTATGTCTTTTGTAACTCTACATGTAAAGCTTTGACTAGGATAGTTAGGTTTCCTTCCACTTGTTGAAGAATGGTGGTTGCAAGAAACATAGAAGTACACGCTTTAATAGATCTTGACTGCACACATCTATTCTCATGAACCAAAGTTTTCACCATCCAATCGCTTTCTTCATCAGATCTAGAAATTAATATGAATTGACTGTTTTTTCCTTGCATTTGATTCTAATTTTTGTCCATGCCCCACCTGTCATTTCCGGGACCACACCCTTGCATTTTCCCTAATTCTTTTTTAATCATTTTTTGCAAAGTAAATATTTCTCATAGTTCGAATTGAATGCATTTTAATATAGTCCTTCACTTCTGATGAGGACTTAAATATTTGACCCAGATGGAATGCAGTTTCATGTACTACTCCTAATGAATACGTGGTTGGTTTGTTTAACCTTATCATTAACTTCTTCCTCTCATCTTCTTCTACACTAGCTGATTCAAACAATTGTGTATCTATCACTCCAAATCCTCATCAACCGTGACATCAGGTGCATTGAATGATTGGTGGTTATCCAGATTTGGAAAAGAATAAACACCACTGTGGAAGTCTTTCATATTCACTTCTACATCCTCCACCATATTAAGTTTATCTACTAAAAAGTCACTATCATCGCTTATACTTCCATCAGTACTACTCTCATCACTAATAACATCCCCAATTTCTTTATTGTCCCCGATTTGTTGGTAGTCATTGTCCCCCATCTGTTGGTAATCATTATGATCCATATAAAAGAAATGATCAAAGTCTTCTGAAGAACCAACATCTTGGACTTTGTTAAGCTTCTCACTTGCAGGCTGAACTCCATCATCTTTCACTACATCTCTATTAAAATGTCCAAAAGGTACAACAGACCTATAAAAGTCATAGTTCTCATTCAAATCCAATTTTCTACTACATGATCCTACCTATGTACTGGTAAACCTTTTTCGATTGAGTTCAGGAGAAATAGGCTCATTGATTTCTTCTAATACAAGCTTATTTGGAGACATAAAGTATGTATGGAGTCTAGTAGTTCCATGTTCAGTATACACCATAATCTTTTTGTGATTAGCGACATGCTTACTTAACAAAAGTACGTCTGAGTCGTTACCTAGAGGAAGTAACCCATAATCGATTTCAATCTCTGGAATCAAGAAGTGGTAGTAGGTAGGCTCACCGTTGATATAACATATCTCCTTCAACATATCGTCTAACTCATGTACAAAAAACTCGTCCATGTCTACGTAGTCAACATAGTCAATACTCCCACCAACGTAACGTCTTCCTAGGTATTTTGTGAACATAACCCCATGGTGAATCTTGAATGTGCATAAACTACTTAACCCAACTGAAAAACAAATAAATAATGATATGAGGAAAGAATGAAGTCTCAAAATTGAATGTGCATAAATTACTTAACAAAATTGAAAGTTGTTAATTGATCACTCACCATAAGCTTTGATTAGGTCAGGATTTTCTGAGAATTTTGAATGGGCATTCCACAAAAGTTAGAACCATCGCAAAAGATGAAGATGAAAACCCTAGTTTACGTTTGAGTTTTGAAGTGATGAAGATGAAAAACCAGAGGAGAAAGAAAGGGTCGATTTCTTGGGGTAATGTAAATGGCAGCCGGATGTAAGGATCATTTATGAATATGCTCATTTCGTGTAATAAAGCAAAAGACCAAAATACCCTCGTGTGAGGGTCATGCGATTTAGATAAACGACATCAATTAAACGGAGTCAGTCATAAGGACTATCCGTGCAACAATTGGGAACCACAGGGACCATACTCATTCAAAATTCCTCATAAGGACTGTCTTTGGTCTCTCGTGCCAACCACAGGGACCATCTATGTAATTTTGTCTAAATTTTATCATGGTTTCCAATTGAGTTTACGCATTTGAATTTGAGTAGAATCAAACATTAAGCTACATATGATTTCAACCAATATTTATTAAAGTACACATAGATATCTATATATCTATATCTATATTTATATATCTTATAATGGAAGCATTTTTCTAAGCACCATATTGATTTGAAACCCCTTTGTCTTTTCATATTCTGAAATGACTATATTTCTAAGCACCAAATTGATTTGAAACCTCTTTGTCTTTTCATATTCTCACATGACTTTTCAAATGTCTTTTTAATAATTGATTTAGCATTTAACACCAAACACACTATATAAACTCTTACATGTAAGAAGGATGTCATAAGAAAATGAAAAGAAAAAATTTCAACAGTCACAATTCTTTTAGAACGTATTAGTAGCGACGAAGTCTCTAAAAGAGCTCTACAAATCAAGGTTGTGGATGAATGTATCATTTTTTACTCAAAGTTTGATCATGTTATATTTTTTTTTTCCAGTAGTGATGTGCAATTCGAGTTGTAGTTTGCCATTTTCGAAGTTATATGTGAGAACATCATCATTAGCCTATTAGTTTTTATCTCTTCGTTTTTGTTATGAATATTTCAATATGCTTTGTTTTTTCTTAGATTTTTGTTTACTATTTATATTTACATTTGTACATGTATAAAAGGTTGTTTGAATCACATATTGTAATTGATTAAAGCCATACATGTTGAGTATATTCATATGCTCCATAGTTTGTATCATAAAAGCTAAATTTCAAGTCTACGTTATAAAGTTGTACAAATCTTATATGGAGTGACCTAAAATTAGAAGTTTACAAGCTTCACAAAGTTTATTTCGTAATAATTTTAATGTTATTAATAATTTTTTATTGTATGCCTTAAAAGGCAGCAAACATACCATAATGAGTTTTTATATCAACTTCATATAAGTATAATTATTTCATAATTAATAATAACGATATGATTATTTTAATAGTGTGTATGTAACGTTACACGGGAAATTAAATAAAATTCATTTGAAATTCTCACAACAAAAGAGTTTTTATTTATTTATTTATTTATTTATTTTTTAATTTTTGTATACTTATGATTTCAAATATAAACTTATTAATCACTACAACTCAAAAATTTTTGTAACTTATGTTTAGTAATTGGTACTTATATTTTTCTATCATTTATATACATTGTATCCGTATTAGTAATATATAAATAAATTTTCTCACAAACGTGTTTTAAGATATTTTAAATTGAAAAAAAGAGTATTTTGCCACATCATAATAATTACTAATTACTATGCGGATTTTCTTGGAACAATAAGTATTCTTTCATAATTAGTTTAATATTATTAATATTTTTTTTGTTGTATGCCTTAAAGTCATCAAACATGCTATAAAGAGTTTTTATATAAACTTCGTATAAATATAATTATTTCAAAGTTAATAATAGTGATATGATTATTTTATTATTAAAAGTTGTAGTATTTATGTTTTTTTTATATATTTGTTATTCAGTATATACATAAAGTAACATACAATTTATCTATAATTTACAAATCTTAAAATGGTCAATAAAATCATCAAATATTTATTTTTTATACTATTTGTTATTCTTTATATATATAAATCAATATATGTTTTATATACATTTATTAACATTGTTTTTTCATTTATAAATATTAGGTCAAAATTTATAAATTAGGATAAGGATTAAATAATTGCCGTTAAAAAAACCATATAAATATATTCTTACTTAACGCGTAGGATTCGTCTAGTGTGCTTATAAAAGAGACATATTTCTAAGAACGGCGTCCATTTGAAACTTCTATGTCATTTTATATTTCCAAAGACTTTCCAAATCCTTTTTAATAATGATTGACAAATGCTTTAGCATCAAAGATGTTATATAAACCATTAAAATTTATCTTGGATTCTAATAATCTCAACGATGAGTGCTCTATTCTACTTCACATTTCATCCTTCATTTTCTTCTCTTTTTCTTTTGTAATGACTTCCATTAGAAAAGAAAGGAAAGGGTTTGGACTTTCTGAGAAACACAAGGACTATTTTTTCCATGCAAAGGCCTTTCATATAAAGATGATTACTTACTGGTAAACAACAATACATTTATTGTGTGATCAAATCGTTTGAGTAATCTGATTTTTTACCATGAAATTGTTAAACTTATGAATGTGACTTTCTACAATAGAAACTCAAGGAATAGACAGTATTGAAGAATCCATATGAATTCTACTTTAAGGTGATCAATTCCAAGATCATTGACACAGTACATCAACATGCGTAATTATCTATACCCCGCCCCCTTTTCAAAATATGGCAAAAACCAACAAATATATTTATATTATACAAGAGTGAAACAAACAAATAACTTCAAGAAGATCTTTTTTATGGATGAAGAGGGTCGGTTCTGAAAAATGAAACATTCTTAAAGGTTCAGGACGAACAAAAAAAAAAGAACCCTTATCTTTATTATAATTTTGTATTTTTAAATAAAAATATAATATGAAAAAAATACACAGGTTCTATATTGCAGAAAGTTCAATCTTCGAAAAAGGTGGATAATTACAACTCGTTTTTTATATAACTTTGAGAGCAATATATGCTTATATTTTCATTTAATTCATAAAATTGAAAAGCTAAGTGCAACACTATAGTTAGGTGATTCCCAACAATCAAACATAAAATGTAAATTCTGTTGAATATACATGTTAATCTCTTTAAATGTATCTCACTTATATATATATATATATATATATATATATATATATATATATATATATATATATATATATATATATATATATATATATATATACACACACACACACACACACACACACACACACACTAGCCGTTTACCCGCGCCAAACGACGGGTGCGATTAACTTTCTTTCAGAAATTAGTTTGCCCTAAACAAAAAAAAAAATACAAAATCGGTAAATAAATAGACCTGATGAACCAAACGCAAAAATGACTTCTTATTGCTGGACGATGGAGGTTTAGGTGATAATCACAGATGGAGAGGCACTGATTTGGATGTGTCTTCAATTTTATATGAACAATGAAAATAATCTGCCGAGATATGGGGAAACAGCAAGATAAGGAATGAATCAGGTCAAAACAATAACGCCTTAATAACAAGAGCGATAAGATTCATTTGAAACATAATGCCCAATTCAACTCATTCAAGAAGTCAGATTTGATCTAACCGATTCATTTGATTTTGACCAATTTAAAAGCTGAAATTGAGAAAATGTTGGTTTAACATTTGTTGACTGATTCATGGATAAGATCTGATTGCATAAACTTGTTGTATATTATGTTTTAAGGATTGTACCATGTTGACTCATTCTAGTAAAAGGATATGATTTTTTTAAAATTTAAATCATCTATATTGGGTAAGATAAGGATGTAGGTTTGAATGTTTCAATATTAATTTTACATTTGTACTTAATGCATTGTATTTTGTAATTTATTGATAAATGTTTGTACATTCAGCTGAAAGGTTTGGACGTCTTAAATCTATTTTTAGAAATAGTAAGGTTTATATAATAAGATAGTATAGATATATATAAACTAATTAAGAATACTAACTGGATTTTATGTTATCAATAAATATGTTTATGGTTAAATATATCTTTTTAAGGAAGATGATAAGTGAATACTATGGGAAACCAACAACGTTGGTGGATTTCAAGCTTTTAAGGTTGTGTGGTATTTCTGTTGTCAATCTATCTGACACCACCATTGCCCAAAAGAAAGAAGCAACTTTAAATTAAAGTTCTTCAATCGGTTGTACTTATGAGTCACTATTTTAGCTTTTAATGAAGTTTTCTACTTACATCCAAACAAAGATCAATAGGTGTCAAAATATAAGACTTAATTGTGTTAATGGTCCTGTAATATATAATATGGAGAAATAGTTAACATGGGTCCAATTGAACTATAACTGAACTGTAACTTTATTAAGTCATTATCACCCAGACCGAATATAATATGTTATATGAATTATGAAGCCACAAATAAATCCATATTAAAGTTTTGGAATCCAAAAAATGATCCACATTAAAATACGACGAATCTATATTTATCTAAACTGAGATCCAATGAATCCAAAATATATCCATATTGAAATCATTGGATCCATTTTTATTGATAATGCACTTTTTGAATCCTATACATGTTATATATAGTCGACTCATATTACTTAAATTTTGGATACCATATTGATAAAGATCCATACTATTTTAATTAAGTGTAATGTTTATTAGTAATATAATAATTAATTATAAAAAAAATAAGTTAATTATTTTCCAACAATTAAGATTAATTAAAAAAAACATTTTTAAATTGATTTAAATATAAATATTAGTTAAGATTTATTTATTCTAAAATTATGTTTTGCAGACGTTGATATATTTTCATAATTATTGTTAGTTTGAAACTTTTGTTTTTCTGTGGCATTCGTCTAACGTAATATGTGGAAGTATGCACAATGAGATTATAATTTTGAAAGGAGGAGAGATCGATACGAGATGATATTATAAAAAAAGGGTCCAAGGTAGCAAAACATAACATATTTTATTCTAGTCAACTAACAAAAAATGTTGCTGGAAAGTTAACAGTATAATCCTCTTCATTTTTGTGTTTCATTGTATTCCACTGTTGCTTGCATTTGTACAATCGATGGAAGGGTTAAGAAAGCTCCAATATAGCCCCAACAACAACAGCAACAACAAAAATGAAAAACATGAAAAAACAACTGTATGTAGCTTACTTATTATTCTAATATATAGTAGTTTATGCTACACAATACAGACGAAAAAAAAACACCTGCTCCAAAACCAGGTGCACAAGAGGAGCTTTAAGCACTACAAAGATTTTATAAGACATTATTAGACTCCCAATGTAGAAGGCAGCAACTGCATCCAACAACTGATTCCAAAATCCAAATATGTTCAATAATCTGAGACTGAGATTCTTGAGCAATGTTCTCGGCTACAGCTAATCTTTAATAGTATTAATTTAATAGAATCTTCATCGTCAAACTCAAACTGATATGAAAGGTAGGCATTGTAAACAACCAAACATATTCGTCTCATTAGCATCATTTTCAACTAATACCTTATGGCATTCTGAAAGGAGGACCAATCATGCTTGTTACAATATTATGACATTTAATGAGTGACCCAAATTTACATGAACACAGAGTATCTAGTGTAACAAAAATAGCTGTGACCACCTTTTCATTGTACTTATTTGGTATCTTTTGTTGATCATAAGCCTTGAGAAAACATTCAAGAAATTTAATATTCAAAAGAGCCTTATCAAAAGATTTTTGTAGGACAATATCTCTTTGTTGTGCTTCAGTCAGAGATTTGATAATTCTTTTATTATTGTTCTCTTGAGAAATCCAAATCTCCCCAACCAACTTCTCCATCGACTTACCCAAGTGTTTACTTGCTTCTTCAAGAATCACCATAACAGATTCCCACTTTAAATGCATTCAAACAAATTTTCTGATTTAGTCAACATTTGACTTCAGAATTCAGCAAAAGCATCCACGAATTCTTTAATTTTCTGCTCTTGATCCGAAAACTTCTTAGACCAATCCGTAACTAAATTATCAACATTGGTCTGCTTAGAAGTATGAGTTTGAACTTCTGCGAGTTGTATCAGCATATTGAGCTTTCTATTCAGAATCTTGAAAACTCTTTTGGACATAAGATCATAATCATCTCCACCATTATCTTCCACATCTTCATCTTCCACAAAGATTGAAGTATCTGGCTCAACCACCTCATCATCGGTAGTTACTTTGGGTGTATCCATGCTCAAAGAAACATTAAAAGGATTGTTGATTTGATCATATGTAGGAGAAGAAAATACCTAAGAAGTAATGAGATCCATTGACTAATGGTCCGACAAAGAGGAGACGATTCCATGTTTCAATTGTCAAACTTATAAAAAAGAAAAATTTAAAAGTGGAGAGTGTAAAAAATGGACATTCATAAGCGCTGAAATTTTATTTATTTATTTATTTTTTTGTGCGACCAACTCAGTGCAGGTTGACTAGTGACGCTGCTAGGGTTGGCTCTTTGCGTGGTGCCAGGGTGGAGCCAGGATTTAAGATTAAGGGGCTCACATCGTAATAATATCCTAATTCTAATAAATAAGTAGAACTCTGCCACGTGTCAATCTGTAAGACCTACAAAATAGAGTTTTCCCGCTCATTTTATTCATCTATATTTACGTAAATGCCATACAATCCAAATTCAATAATTCCGGAAAAATCTGCAAACAAATATGTTAATCAATCTTCAGATTCGAAAAACACGCATTAATTTTGAAAGTTTGTTTATTTTGATTGCAAATTAAATCCCTAAAAATCTGCAATATTATTCTTTTTCAAACGTAATCTTCTTAATTCTTATTCTTATTTATTCAAACGTAAATAGCATTCATACCGTTATTTTCTTTTTACCATTCTGCTCCAGACGAATTCTGCTCCATAGTAATATTTGCAAACGTATTCTTCTTCATTCTTCTTGATTCTGCAACGCTTCAAAAATTATAATATCAGGTTAGTGTATTAAAATATCAGCATTACTAATATTTCTAACCTCTTAATTGTTTGATTTACCAGTTTCTATCATTTTTCATTTTATTAGTGATGTTCTTCTTCTTCCTTTTGCTAATTCTTCTTAATCATGTTCTTTTTCTACCTTTTCAGTTTAAAAGACATAAATGTTAATGAAAATGATTACAAAATACGAAATTAGTAATAAAAATGAGAACTTTATTTTCTTTAAAAAAAACTGTTCTTCAAAGCTTTAACTATTACAATATGTTTTTTTTTGTTTTGCTGTTTCATTTACTTTGATTTGCTGTTAATTTAAAAGGTTGCTAATTTTCCTTACAATTCTATAATGATTAAATTTATTGCAGAAAATGGAATTCATATGCGAACCCAACTGATTGGCAATATGGTCATTAAATTTATTCTATAAAATCAAAACTTATCTGTTTTCATATGCGAACCCAACTGATTGGCTTTTCAAAATCAAATTCGCAACTCCAAATCGTTCGATTATTCGCCCCAATTCCAAAATCAAATAACAGATCCTTCGTATGATTCATTTAATAACCAAGGCTTCTTTTACTTCAAAATGACCATATTGCCCTTAACTTGATAAGTATTTCATATATCGCAATTAACAATTAAGACAAATCAATCAATCAATCAATTTGTATAATAAAAATGCGAAATTCTTAGCTCTCTTCCCCAATTAGCATTCTACTGTAAAATTCACATTCTTCATTCACCCTCTTTCTTCGCATGTTCCAGTCATTTTTTTTTTAGTTCATTCGCATTTGAGTTGTTTGTCTCACCAAATACGAAATGAATATTAACCATAATCACCTTCGCATCTTTAACCCCAATCCATACAACCTCATATGCGAAACCCAATTTTGATTTGTATTACCAAATGCGAACATTTTTGCTTTTACACGTGAACTGCATTTGACTCCAATATGCGAACATCTTTAACCCCAATCCATACAACCTCAAAGCTTTAACTATTACAATATGTTTTTTTTGTTTTGCTGTTTCATTTACTTTGATTTGCTGTTAATTTAAAAGGTTGCTAATTTTCCTTACAATTCTATAATGATTAAATTTATTGCAGAAAATGGAAATAGGAAATAAGGTTTACCTAAATAACATTGACCAGATAGATGAAAAATCGCATATCAAGGTTCGGGTGCTTAAAATTTGGAACTTTGTCAGAAATAATAAAGTTTGTTCCATTGAAATGATCATCATGGATGAGGAGGTTTGTTGTATTTGATATATTTTTTATTCATCATTCAATATTAGACATGTTTCATGAACATAATAATTTTTAATTTTTTTTTAAACAGGGTACACAATACCAAGCTCGTGTCTTCAATCAGAATTTCTCCAGATTTCGTCATCTTTTAAAGGAAGATGAAAGTTATATAGTTATAAAACCCAATATGGCTGCTGTTACTAATGGTTTTAGTTATACAGGTCATAAACAGACCTTAACTTTGGATTGGAAAAGCATCCTAAAAAAATGTGATGATTTCTCGGGTCCGGTCAATGGATTTATGTTTGTTGACTTTAATTCTATCATAGAACAAACATGCCCAAAAGACACATTCTTTGGTTAGTCATAAAATATTAATAAAATCATTTTTTATCATTTGTTTTTTTGGTTATACATTTTATTATTTAAATATTACGAATTTAATCCTAAACTTTTATTTTTTTTGTGGTATCTGTTGTGTAGATGTTATTGGACATATCGTGTCATTTAGGCCTCTTGAAACTTCAAATCCAGTACCATCCAAGCATTATATAAAAGTCACTCTTAGCAACCTAGAGTGAGATTATATTGTATTATTTATTTATTATTTATTATCTTTAATTAATCACAAATTAATATTAATATACTATTTTATGGTTTATTTAGTTCTGTACATCTGAAGGTTACTATTTTTGGAAGTCAAGCATATCAAATTTCAGAATACCTAAAAAATAACCCGACTGTTAATTTTGTTGTTATCGTGATGCAGTTTTTGAAGCTAAACATTTGGAATGGTTTGTATTCAGTCTTTATATATAGATGTTTATAATTACTGTTTTTATATAAATTTTAATAATTGGATATACATTTTTTACAGGTCTTGGTGAAGCTAAAAGTCATTTTGAAGTAACGAAATTGTTCATAAATTCTGACATTTATGAAATAAATGAGTTTAAAAATAAGTTAGTTTCCAATTGTTTTTTATTTTTTTATAATGTATTTTAACTTAAAAAAAACACAAAACCTAATATTCATGAATCTAAATTAAACATTACAGGTTGAAATGTCATGACAATTTCGGTATAACTGAAAAAAGCATAACTACACTTCAAAGCTACTCTTCTTCATATACAGATGACTTTAAGGGCAATTTTCATTAAAAACAATCTGTGAGATCACCGAACCAATTAAGGTATATTGCATTATTTTATATGTTTTACATTTTATTTTTGCATAATTTATTTTAATAATTTTTACATTTTATATGATACAGGAAATGAAGTTTTTATTAGTTGCTTCCATTGTTAATATAAGGCAGAATCTACCATGGTATTATGAAGCATGCAAAAAATGTGGAAAAAAAATTATCCCTGTTCCCAAAACCAATCATTCGTATACCAACCCTGAGGGAATTTCAGAAACTATGGTTGTCGAGTGTACAAATGCACAATGCAAAAAATCTGAATTTCAGTCAGTTATAAAGTATAGACATATTTATTTCTATTAATTTTGTCAATCTTAAAACAACACTAACAATGACATAATTATTTTTTGTTTTAGGTATATAATTCCAATTAACGTACAAGATTGTACTGGAACCATTGGATTGACTCTTTTTGATAGGGAAGCAAGGAGGTTGTTAAATATAAGTGCCTACGAGTTGAAAAAGATACATGATGCGGTATATTATTCATACCTTTAAAATCAGAAAACATTTACTTAATTTTTTTAATTTATTAAAATATATCTTACAGGCCGGAGACAGTGATGCCTTTATTTCCAATACAACTTAATGTGTTGAAAAACCGCAAGTTTGGTTTTGTTGTAGATATTACAGAATACAATGTCAACAACTATAATAACATCTACACAGTTCTCAGAGTTACAGAAGATATGTCTATTGTTTGTGAATTGGAAAGTAAAATAGAACTTATGGTATGTAATTTTTTATTGTTGAAAATTTACAATTCTTTAATGTTAAAGTACATAACGATTAACATATTTCCATTTTATTTTTTAGAGTAATCAATCTGTCTCCTTAAATCAAGTTGCTTTGGAATCCGATGATGTTGTACAGCCTGTTCAAAAGGTTTTTCATTTTATTTTATAAACTTTTAATTATATTAGTTATTTTTTTTAGGAATCAAACATTTTTTTTTTTTAAATTAGGATGTGATCTCACAAACAGACGAAAGTTTTACACCCTCAACAGTTGATAAGTCAACCGCAACAAGTCCTTGCAAAATATCAGGTGATTTGAAGCGCAACCTCCAAGAAATTTATGATGTTGATTCTGGATATGATTTAAGTTCAACTAAGGCTAAAAGAAAGTCAACCGCAGAGGAAACTCCACTCTTGATTCCAAAAATTGAAAAGTGAGTTTCTATCGGTTATAAGACACATTTAATATATTTTGATCATTTGTTTTGGTTATAAAGATATTTTAATTGCTTGGTATGATTTTTATTTTGGGGTATTTAGGATGTCAAATATTATTGGTTTTGAATATTTTTGGATACTTTTATTGTTTTAAATTGGACAAGTTAGTTGATTTTGGTTATAACTCAAATAAAATATATTGCCCCTAACTTGATAAGTATTTCATATATCGCAATTAACAATTAAGACAAATCAATCAATCAATCAATCAATTTGTATAATAAAAATGCGAAATTCTTAGCTTTCTTCCCCAATTCGCATTCTACTGTAAAATTCACATTCTTCATTCACCCTCTTTCTTCGCATGTTCCAGTCATTTTTTTTTAGTTCATTCGCATTTGAGTTGTTTGTCTCACCAAATACGAAATGAATATTAACCATAATCACCTTCGCATCTTTAACCCCAATCCATACAACCTCATATGCGAAACCCAATTTTGATTTGTATTACCAAATGCGAACATTTTTGCTTTTACACGTGAACTGCATTTGACTCCAATATTGAACAAATCACATTTCACAGTCCTTCTTGACTTCGCATTTTTCTTCACGAATCGTCCCTCAATCAATAACCCAATTAACCCAATTGCTAATCCAAAATCAAAACTTATCTGTTTTCATATGCGAACCCAACTGATTGGCTTTTCAAAATCAAATTCGCAACTCCAAATCGTTCGATTATTCGCCCCAATTCCAAAATCAAATAACAGATCCTTCGTATGATTCATTTAATAACCAAGGCTTCTTTTACTTCAAAATGACCATATTGCCCCTAACTTGATAAGTATTTCATATATCGCAATTAACAATTAAGACAAATCAATCAATCAATCAATTTGTATAATAAAAATGCGAAATTCTTAGCTTTCTTCCCCAATTCGCATTCTACTGTAAAATTCACATTCTTCATTCACCCTCTTTCTTCGCATGTTCCAGTCATTTTTTTTTAGTTCATTGCATTTGAGTTGTTTGTCTCACCAAATGCGAAATTAATATTAACCATAATCACCTTCGCATCTTTAACCCCAATCCATACAACCTCATATGCGAAACCCAATTTTGATTTGTATTACCAAATGCGAACATTTTTGCTTTTACACGTGAACTGCATTTGACTCCAATATTGAACAAATCACATTTCACAGTCCTTCTTGACTTCGCATTTTTCTTCACGAATCGTCCCTCAATCAATAACCAATTAACCCAATTGCTAATCCAAAATCAAAACTTATCTGTTTTCATATGCGAACCCAACTGATTGGCTTTTCAAAATCAAATTCGCAACTCCAAATGGTTCGATTATTCGCCCCAATTCCAAAATCAAATAACAGATCCTTCGTATGATTCATTTAATAACCAAGGCTTCTTTTACTTCAAAATGACCATATTGCCCCTAACTTGATAAGTATTTCATATATCGCAATTAACAATTAAGACAAATCAATCAATCAATCAATTTGTATAATAAAAATGCGAAATTCTTAGCTTTCTTCCCCAATTCGCATTCTACTGTAAAATTCACATTCTTCATTCACCCTCTTTCTTCGCATGTTCCAGTCATTTTTTTTTAGTTCATTCGCATTTGAGTTGTTTGTCTCACCAAATACGAAATGAATATTAACCATAATCACCTTCGCATCTTTAACCCCAATCCATACAACCTCATATGCGAAACCCAATTTTGATTTGTATTACCAAATGCGAACATTTTTGCTTTTACACGTGAACTGCATTTGACTCCAATAATGAATATTAACCATAATCACCTTCGCATCTTTATGTTGATTATTTTAAACATGGAACATTTATGTCTATTATTTAGAATAACTATTATTTTTGTCACGATAAATATGTTATTTTTAATAAATAATCAATAACCAATTGTAAACAAAATTTATATCTTTGATTCTCTAAAATTAATTCATACATTTTTGTAATGGTTGCAGCATATTTACTTATCTTCTGTAAATAACCTATATTCAACCAACTATTTCCTAATATTCTATACTCCTTTTTTAGATGAAATTTGAATATTAAACTAATTTTTAGTTGTAATCTTTTAAATTCCAAAAAATCAGGAAGAAAATTATATCTAATAAAGATCCAACAACAATAAAATCATATAATCGTAATCTTTTTCCAATATTCAAGCATATAACTTTAACTCAAAACGTGAAATCCAAAATTTTGAAACACCTCATTCGTCTTCTTAATGTTCAATTGTTTCTGCGATTTTTTTTTCATTAAGCTTACATCAAACTGCTTCATTAAAGTTGTAATCCTCATTCCAGTTCTACCTGCAAGATTTCCATATCCATATGTCAGGTTAGTATTATCAGTTTAGATCACTTTGTTTTCTCTATGAATTTATGGTTGAAATTTACAACAATAATCAATATGCTGGAATAGATGTTTTTCTAATTGTAAAAAATAATCTTGAATAGATACATAAGATCAATAAGCAATTTATAATCATCACGATTATCGTGTATCACACAATTTTACCTTCATTGATTCCATGGAGATCTAGGGTTTTAACCCCTGATATCATCCGAACCCACGATTGGTTGAAATTGGGGAAACAGTAGATTTAAATCGAATAAACCCTAGGTTGGAAATGAGGATGATGAGTCATGATGCTAACATTTTAATAAACAAATTAATAAAGGTAACTTTTTAAATACATTTACTTTATTATCATTATTTATTTAATTCTAACTAACTTCAATTGTATTATATAAACATATTATGTACATAATTTCACATTTCATTTCCTAACCTATGTCTTCTTATGCAGAAAACAACAGTAACATGTACCACATGCAGGCCAAAGAGAAAAGAAGACAAAGAAAAATATATTTGGAAAATAAAAGATCGAAGAAAATAAAAACAATACCAAACGTTCCAAGTATATCATTACAGCATCTCTTCAAAAAAACCTATTAACTATAACCGTATTAGTATTTTATATTCCATCTTTTACTGTTATATAGTTGAATACATATATTTACAAGTTTTATAAGTTATTTCTATTTGCAGATCAATCAACCAACATTGTTCGTCAAACTCAAAATGTCAATTCATTTACAACACCTGCAAAGCATAACACAACCATACAATACTGTCCTTCCTTTACAGATGTTAGAACTCCATTTTCTAACATTACAAATGTTATAAATCCGTTATCTAACATTACGAATGGTAATTATTTATGGTTTTTAAAATATACTATTATCCATTATGTAAATATTTATTTATTTAGTTAACTATTTTATTTTTATTTTATTCAGATAACATTGGTTTCGATAAATATATCACTTCCAAGTTAGCAAAGAAAAGACAGTACCATGTACTTTCAAATGATATGACATCAAAAAATGCATCTACAGTAACAACTTCTTCATCATCAATCAAGTTAAATCCAGGATGTCATAAATTAAAAACGAAGACAAGACATTTATCCCCTATCCCATTGATTGATTTGACAGAAGATGTAAAAATATACATCAAGTGAACAATGAAAATCGTATAGTTGGTATCTCAAATGGTAATGAAAAAATAAAATCCATTTTACATTTCAGATACTATGTTCTATATAATTAAAATTCATTGATATTTTATTCAACGCTTTTATTTTACAGAATATTTGGATCATGGTGATCAAGATGTTGTATGTCAAACATGTCGTGCAAAGTTATGGAGAAATGAATCCATTAGAGGTAAAGAAAATGGGAACACGGATTATTCATTATGTTGTGGTTACGGCAAAGTTCAACTTCCAGACTTAAAGAATGCACCCCCTACTTATGAAAGAATGTTTCGAAATATGGATTCAAAAAGCAAACACTTCATGAAAAACATTCGACGTTACAATTCAATGTTTTCTTTCACGTCGATGGGTGGTAA